CCTCTCCTGGGGGTGGGGGAAAGAGCAATTTCTCACTTTCCCTCTCTTTGTACCTCTTTGGCTTACACAAGCACCCTATAGTAAAAACCTAAAAAAAAAAAAAGAAAACACAAACCTTGCCTTGTTCAAAGCTGTTGTCACTAGTCTCACGTGGTTATTTAACTTTGTTGTTGTCATTGTTGTTTACGAGTGCATGTGTTTATCAGAGAGTGACAGAGGGAGAGGAGAAAACATGCCCCTACTCTGATGGGGCATGGCCACGCTGCAATCTTTTCTCCTCCTTCTCTCCTTCCTTTTGGGATTTTGGGCACACATGCCAACTGTTTCTCAAGTCCCTGGGTCTGGGACTTGAACCACGTAGTCAGCCATGTGGGATCCAGTTGCCTTCACCATCAGGCCACAGAGCTAGCTCATAAATTTTAATTAAGTGAAATAAACTTAAAATTCATTTCCTTAATCCCAAGCCATATGTTCAGTGCTCAGGAGCCCCATGTGACTAGTATTATATAGACAGCATAGAATATAACATTTCAGGAATCAGCAGTTGGATTAATGGCGATGTCACTAAACTCCCATGTAGTCAACTATGGTTCAAGTCCCAGACCCAGTGGCTTAAACTCACACTGGGCACATGTGTGTGCGTGCCCAAGATCCTGAGAGGAGAATGGAGGAAAAGGGATTGTGGCGTGGCCATTCCCCCTGGGGGGTGATTTCTTGCTTTCTGTCTCTGTCTCTCTCTGGCTTTCTGGAGAGTGCACGCACCCTCTAGCAGCAAAAAACCTCTCAAAAAAAAAAAAAAAGACTATAAAATTTCCATCACCACAGGAAGTTTTATTGGACAGCACAACTTTAAGTAAAAATTGCTTTCGAGTCATTTTGTGATGCAAGATAAAGACCCTGGAATTCCTGACAAGTTTCTGAAACTGTGTTAATAGAACCAGCTAGTGGAATTGCCTGAACTTCATCCAAAACTGGTGAGAAGTATCAGATTGGGGGTAGGAGGGCTGGTGTTTTTACTCTCCAAACCAATGCGGAGGATTTAAGATTCTGAGGCAAATTTCGGCAGGAATACATAATAGAAAAGGCCCAGAAAATCTGGATCCTTTAATATACAGTAATAATGGTGACCATTTACTGGATGCCCCATACGTGCCAGGCACTGCAGTAAATGCATCTTTCTTTTTTAAAAAATGAATTATTAATTTATTATTTTAATTTTTCCCCATAGGGCACATGTGTTCACCAGAGAGACAGAGAAAGAGATAGAGAGGGGGAAAGTGAGAAAGTAAGCCCACGGGTTTGGGACTTGAACCGCAGTGGTTCATATGGGAGTCTAGCACCTTAACCACTATACTTACTACCTGCTGGCCCCAATGCATGTTTCATTTAACTCTCACACTAGCTCTATAAGGTATGTATTATTACCACTATTTTGCAGGTGAAGAAACTGAGGTTTAGAGGTGGACGGTCCCACAGTAAACAGAAGAGCCAAATTTAACCCCACGTGTGTCCATTCTCTTGTGTCTTCTAGTTCTTTCTCATCTGTAAATCTAAACTGATTAAATTAGAATATCTCAACATTCTCTACAGATTCTGAAATTTTATGTTCTAAATAACACCATCTTCTTTCCATAATGAATTACGCAGGGTTTGGAAGGGCAGCTTGCTGCTTATTTTTCCCCACAGGATCCGTTTTCCTCTGTCCATGCCTCAGTCCTGAAATCCCCCTTGGCGTCCCATTACCTAATGTAGCTTCAACGGTTTCTGATGGTTGTCATCACCACCACAACCCTGAACCAGATCACTCTGGTGCAAGGAGTGATTCGCTCCAGAAGGCAATCCTTAAAACAACAGCAAAAACCAGGAACACAATGCGTGGTGCACAATAAATGCTCCATGGACATTTATGGAATTAAGTTGAAGTGGACTACAAGGAAAATGTGAATCAGCTGAAGTAAAGGGTTAAGGCTATTACTCAGAGAGCCGGGCTGTGCAAGAAAAGCCCCGAACGGAGATGCTGGTGCAGCCGGATGCAGACAGATCCCGGCGCACAGAAACCTGAAACGGGATAATGAAGGAGTTGGGGGCGGTGACGTTCACCTGGTACAGACCAGACGCCGCCCCACTGGGAGTAAGGAAAACCCA